ATATATATATATATATATATATATTCAAGAGGATATATACAGGATGATACCAAACAAGGTGGCCAAACTTCGTTACCGTATTTTACTCTTCTTTAGGTCTTAAATGTTGGTTAAGTCTTAAAATAGTCTTAAACAAGACGACTTTTAGACGTTATATTGTTGTGTGGGATATTATAGAAAAGCAGAATTTCTTCTATAAAAAGAAAGTAATAATAAGTGTATCAAACTAATGTTCTGGAAGATTTGTCATTTAAATATTAAAACTATAAAATTATTAATAAATTTACACATTTATAATATCATTTGATATTGTACCTGTTAGAATTTTCATTGATGGTTCATCACCGCCATAATCCATCGGTAAAATAGATTTTGGTATAGCTTCATATAGTGATTCTATGCCGGATTCAGAAACATGTATCTAAAAATGTCATCGTTGATCAAAACTTCTCAATTTTATTTGAAAATTACGAGTCTTTTTGTTTTACCAAATACGAAACAAAATGAAAATTATACAATAAATGTGAATTAAATTTTTACAATATTATTTTATACATACTCTGTTAAAAAGTTTTGCTTTCAAAGTCATTTTAAGTACCGATAGAAGGCGCCCAATAAAACTTGGCGCGTTTATCATATAAATTGCTTTGAATCTGAAACCGTATGCCTCCTGAATAATAAATTAAAAATTAATTTGGGCATGATATTATATCAGGTATTTCTAAATAAGTACAAAATATTTTGGAAAACAGTCCTCTCTCCTTGTCGAAAATTAAAGGTCTTTCACATATATTCTATATTTCTTTCTAAAGACTTATATTCTTATAAAGGGGAAGGTAAAAATTAGGTTTTTATTTTTTTCTTCAATGTTGGGAGAGTAAGAAATTTGAAACTTGATGGGCGTTTTTACTAGTACAAAAACTACTTATTATTTTTTTAAATTATCCCGTATTATTATAAGCGAATAAAACCAACAAGTCCTATCTAATTTTTTATTAGTAGTTTTTAACGGGTCGAAATGCGTTAAAAAACTTAAGTCCTTTAGAAATTTCGTATTTGTTTTATTTTTTCGTGAAAACAATAGAGAGTTTTCATGTAAAAGAATAAATTGCATTATCATGCACAACACAAGGGTTATTCAGTAAATTACATTTTTAACGCAAAGTGAGTTTCCAATTTAACAACTACTTACTAAACATTTTTAAATTCATTAAAAATATAATTTGTTGTGTATAACCATATTATGCATAATAATGCATAATGTATATAATAATAATAATTCAATTTTTTCTCTTGAATACTTAGTTTTACGAAAAAGATAAAACAAATAAGAAAGTTGCTAAAGAAATCTTTAGATATACTTTCTTTCTCTAAAGAAGCTTTCTCTCTCTAAAGTATATTTTTAGATGACCACATTCTAACTCGTTAAAAAGTTCTAATAAGAAATTGAATAAAGCGGTTATTAGTTACATCCTTTTTTATAACACTACGGGAGGATTAAAAAATATTTATATGTAATCTTTTTATTCTAGTAAAAAACGTTCACTAAATTTTATTTTTTTAAGTTTTACACTTGGAAAAGATAAGAACCTAATTTTTATTGCCTCTTTCTTCAGAGGAGTTTTCTTCAGGAAGCGATAAGGAGTATGTGTTTATATAAAAGATCCTTCTTAATTTTCGGCAAAGAAAGAGGATTATCTCCTAAAGTTTTTTGCATTTAATTAGAAACATCGTGTATAGTATATATATGGGACACAATTATATACCAGACAGAGGTCACATTTTTTTAATGTACTTGGTGTGTACTTCAACATATGACCTAAAGTAAGATGTTTACAATCCCAAATAATAAGTTCATTATTAACTGTGTCTTCTTCTGCACGTACGTCCGTTATCATGAAAAGATACCTGTAAAATTAGAAAAATTATTTTTGAAAAAAATCGTCGTTATGGAGAAACTATCGTCGTCTCTATGTAATTTTATATGATAATTACGTTAGGGTAAATATAGCACCGTGAGAACAATAAACAAGTCAAAATGATGTTAATTTGATATTATGCTGACTAAATTAATGTCATTTTTTAGTCATAATTATAATCTCGATTTCAAATTACTTAAAAATCTACAGCACCTATTTATTAAAATTTTTAGTCACGAAGTCACAGGGGACGGAGTCAATTCGTTCTTTCCAATTCAACATTTTTATTTATTCTGCTAATTATCTTCTTTCAGCACTGAGTTAATCTTTCCTACCCCCTTTCCTCACTGTCCCTTTTCACGGGTTTAATTAACATGGTTTCTTTTCATTCTTCACCGAATGCGTAATTACCTTGGATTTGAATATCTGACGTAATCATTCGGAAGGTAACAGTTGCCGATAATATTCACGCATCGCACGTAAAAACAATCGTCATTCTATTGATTAAGACGCATTTGTAATTTTTGTGTATACTTGTACGCAGTATGCGCACGCGTACGTGCGTATGCTGTGTGTGAGAGTGTATCATTATAATGTGTGACTAATTACTTAAAAAATAACTTTATATTAATTTCTTTTTATTATCTTTCTGGTTTTCAGAAAATATTATGTTTGTTTCTCGGTTGTACATACCAGGTCTGTAAATATGAAACCGGAATTTACCCATAGATGGTCCTAGCTGTCAATGTAGTTACCGTCAAACCGCCTCATTGGCGCCATTTCCTTGTTGACATTTCTGACAAAGATTTTCAACTCACAACAATACAAGTTTCATACAACATCATAGTTTGTAATAACGTTGAACATGTCGAATTTTGTGCCTGGAAACTACGATTTGCGGACAGCATTGATTTTCTGTTACCATTTGAAGAAAACTGCTGCAGAATTACATCGAATGCTTGTCGAAGCTTACGGTGAGCATGCTCTTGGTAAATCACAGTGCTTTCAGTGGTTTAAAAAATTCAAAAGTGGCGATTTTGACGTGAGAAACGAAGAACGAGGAAGACCATCGAAAAAGTTTGAAGACAGCGAATTGCAAGCATTGTTGGATGAGGATGACACTCAAATGCAACAATAACTCGCGGATCAATTAAATGTGACACGAGAAGCCGTCTCCATACGTGTGAAATCCATGGGAAAGATCCAGAAGATGGAAAAATGGGTTCCACATGAATTGAATGAAAGACAGCAGGAAAACCGAAAAACCACTTGCGAAATGCTGCTCACCAGGTACAAAAGAAAGTCATTTTTCCATCGAATTGTGACTGGCGATGAAAAGTGGATATATTTTGAGAATCCTAAGCGTAAAAGATCATGGGTAACTCCAGGCGAACCATCGACATCGACTGCAAACCCAAATCGCTATGGACGAAAGACAATGCTCTGTGTTTGGTGGGATCAGAAGAGTGTGATCTACAGAGTTGGGAAGTAACGCGTTATTTGTAACGACGTTACTATTTCGTTACTTTTTTTTGGTAACGATTTAGTAACGCCGTTATTTTTTTGTATCAGTAACAAAAAAGTAACAACATTACATTTTCTGTAATAACGAGTAACGAAATTCATCGTTACTTGTATCGCTACTTTTTTACTATAGTGACTTCTGTACACAGAACGCGGCAACGCTTGTCACGCGACGAAAGTTTGCACACGATAAACAATTAATGTGCTGCTTTCCGTAAAGCCCATTCTACAATAAGCAATAAATCTTAAGTCATAATAAAATTGACCAATTATAGTCGACTATTAGAAGAATAATCTACTGTAATTAGTCAATTTTATTGCGATTTAAAACTTATTGCTTATTGTAGAAAGCCTCTCAAACGTAGTCTAGAATAAGAACTTAAGCCATAAAATTTAAATTTTAAGCTCTAAGCCGTAAGAAATTGACTAGTCAATTATTTTTCTTATAATTGACTGTGATTGATCAACTTCTTACGGCTTAGGACTTAAAGCTTAAATTTTATGGCTTAAGTTCTCATTGTAGACC